GTGAAGGTGCCAAAACAAACACTGCAGGACGCTTTTGGCAGTCAGCAAGACCACTCTGACCAATGCAGGGCTATTCACAGGGCACGGCTTCTCAACAGAGAGTTATTTTATCCCTCAAGGAACATGTAGAGGTTTTTAGTTGTCACACCTCAGGGGATGGGGACTGTTACAAGTAGGAAGTTCTAGTTGTTAGGTCTGAGAAGAGGGAGGATGAAGAGGAAGGAGTGGAAGGGAAAGAGGGCCGTGGAAGGAAGGAAGGAGTGGAGAAGGAGAGGAAGGAGTGGGTTGGCTGTGGGAGTGGGCGGCGGTGGCTGCAAAGATAACCTTTATTTCGGGAATGCGGGGAGAGACCCCCCGGCCCCCGGGGCGCAGCATCTTCACCCCGGGGCCAGCGGTCTCTCTCTGGAACACTCACTCTCTCCGACACGTGGCGTGGGGGAATATAAATAGCCTAAGCTTAGGGCAGTGCCCTAAGGCCATTAGGGATGTACAGATATTTCATTGGCACACGTTTGGCGCTAGGGACAGGTTCTTAGGGATGGGGGTATAGGGTTACAGGTAAATTCCTAGGGGCGGGGGAGGCAGGAGCTCTTTAATTTGGTTGAGGCTTCTCCTGGTTAAAGTATCGGCCTAGGACAGCAACTCTTTCACTAGTGAGCAGAGTCACGAGATGCAGCTAGAAATTCTGAGATGCACAGGATACCCACACACACAACATACACACACACATACATACACACAAAAGGCCAAGGAGTTTAGTCGTTATCCTCTAATTGTTGCACAGGGAGCAGAATGAAGGTACTAAAAGGTTAATGGAACATTTATGTATTACTCTTGTTAGGCTAAACCAAAGTACAACTGAGACCACTGAGGCAGGCAAAGTTGAAGCAATGTGACAGGACTTCATTTGCCAACCGGTGTGGTCGGATGGGCCAAGGGCTGGATCGGCCCAGAGCAAGGGGTGAGGGGGTGATTTTATAGGGGAGTTTAGGTAGGTGAGAGACAGATTGCTGAGAGGGGGTGCAAAATTTCCAGTTGCTGAGCAGGGCCTCTAAAGCTAGGTGACAGACAGGGTTGGGTGCAGGGGTGCTGGCAGGCACAGCGCCTCTCTTGTGGTTTTTTGTGGAACCAGCTCTTTGCAGGTTGACCTGTGAAAGGGCAGCTGCCAGCTTCCTGTTGAACGCCATGCGCCTAGGTTATTCGCAAACAGATCTGTTTGGGGAGGTTTTCCTGCACGTGGTTTAGTTCAGAAATCTGAGGACTTTCTCCTCCTGGCAGCTCTCCTCACCCTCCCTTCGCAGCTTTGCACAGTGAGACCACTTACCCCTCTGTGACTCAGCCTAAACGTTACCTATTGACTGACTTCTCAAACAAAATAAGTCATCTCGCAGGATCCCCAACACCATTCTACCCCACACTTCCTTCTCCACCTCCTTTACAACTCTCACAACAGTAGTGAATGATACACTTATTTGAGAGCTAATACATCTGTCTTCTCATACGGGCTTTGGAGCCATAGACGTGGCTTGTTTCATTCATCTCACTGACCGTCAGGCAGAGTGCCTTGTGCACTATAGTTATTGGATATTTGATCAGTGGGTTAATTAATCTGAAGGCTGATGATGGATTGAAGAGGGGCTGAGCACAGGAAGTGGATATGAAGAGGAGAGGAAGACAGCCGTAAGGATTTCCTTCCCGGCTTGTTCCAATCCACACTCCTTTCCCTGACTTTCCTGGCACCCTCATTAGTGTTCAGCACATCCTCATTTAGGGTTTAGGTGAAGATGCAGAAATCTTTCAAATTGTTTGAAGCAGACATGGATTTAATGGAGACAATCAAGTAAATTCAGAATCCTCACAAAGTGAGCACCAGCCTGGGCTTTCAAGACTGCCAGAATGCTGGCACCCACCTTCCCCAAAGGAAGCATTACTTCTGCCACTACCAGCAAGTGAACCACTGGCCCAGTTTCTAACTGTGTAACATGGGACCAGAATCAGCCAGAACTCCAGACCCACATCGTACCTTCCAGGTCAGGACCAGCAAAATAGACTCTTCCCAGACTGTTCTGTTTTACTTAATGCAAACTCTTTTTAATTTAGCTTTTAACTCAGGTCTGACACAGGTAGACAGGACTCACTAAACTAAGTTATAATGGCAATCCTAGCAGCAAGAAAAGAAAGTGGGTTTCTAGCTTTACAGCCTCTCTGGTACCGGAAAGCACACGGAGAGAGCCATAGACCATTGTGAGCAAGCCCGCTGGCCACAGTGGGCACATGTCTGCCCTTGTTAGATTATCAGGTAAAATGCTATGGTGTCGTTTATCTCCTACCATCTAGTGTTATAGAGTCCTCCAGGCCTGAATGAATGTGAAATGAATCAAATAAAAGGGGAAATTGGCCTGTTCTTTGGAACACTTTATACCTTCCTGATGGCACTAACCCCCGCTTGCCTCTTAGAGTACTTTGCATTCTCAATCAGAAGCACATCTCTTTGTCTTCATACTTATAAGAAGTTATAAAGGTTTTTTAGACTGAATTAAACACAGAAACAAACTAGGGAGAGAGGCCTGGCCTCCATTCTAGCTTGCCACAGCTCCTACAGTGCCTGGAGCTGCCACTTGACAAATATTCTAAATCACCTGCAGTGGGACCCATAGCACAAGGCTCAAGGACTCTGCTTGACTCAGGCACCGTGGGTTCAGGTCTCCTCAGAAAATTCAAAAAATATCTGCCCCATCGGTTCAGTGGGCAAACAGTAATTAAACGCTTCCTGGGTGTCCATCCTGGCAGCATGGCCCCTCCTCTACGGTGCACTCACCATTTCCTCACCAACAGGAGAGCGGGGATTTCAACTTCTGCCCCATGAGGCTACTCAGACACACGGAGCCCCGCTCTGCCCCACGAGAGGGCTTTCCTGAGCCCTGTAGAGTCCGAATGGCCTCTCAGCTTTCTAAGCAGAGTTCCCTCACCTGGTTCCTTCCTGGCACATCTAGGAAAAGCCCAAGGGACCCAGGACGGCTGCTAAACAGAGGAGCTTTTTCCAGCCATCTGCACTGACCCCCAACACCCCACTTCACATTTCGTCCTTCCCTTCATATTTACAGCTCTCACCTCCAAGACACCCGACAAGCCTCAGTCGTCACCTTCCCGGGGCTTCCCCTACCACCCGGCTGTATCCTCGACGTTTCTCCCTTTAACGTTCATTTCACCCGTAACCACATGTGCCAGCCCCCCAGACCCTACATAGTTCCATGAAGGCAGGCGCCAAGTCCAATCATTTCTCCTCTGGGATGCCAGCACCCAGCTTGAGCACTGTTCTGGCTTAGATCCAAAATGGCCCCAGAGCCGCACGCGTGTGGTAGGTGATGCTGGGTGCACTAGAGCTGCTTGCTGTCGGAAGAAGCGAGCCACGTGGGGTGTGTGACCTGGCCCTCACCTGCTCCTCCCTTCACTCTGCTCCCTGGCGGCGGTGACACGGGCAGCTCTCCTCTGCCCAGGCCCTTCTCATGCCCTCCTGCATCGGTGCCAGTCAACCGCAGACTGAAAACACAAACCAAAACAAACCTCTCCTCCTTGCATTTGGGACAGTCGAGTATTGAGTCCCAGCAACAAGAATGTGACTAAGTCAGAGACTGACACATAATAAATGCTGATTAAATAGGTGTTATAGTCACATTAAACTTGTATTTTCCAATGTTACTTTTGTAATATTAATACTGTCTACATTCCTCCTCACTTGTTGCTTTTGCTGTCTTCTGCTGCCATGAATTGCTCTCCTCTGGGAAGCCACCCTGCCTCGGTGCTAGCTGATTATGGACTGAAACCTCTACAGACTGTGAGCTAAATAAACTTTTCCTCCTCAAAAAAAAAAATTGTCTGTATCATTTGATGGTTTACCAAATCCCTTTAAGGGTGAGGGTCCCAACTGTGGGAAGCAACAGTGCAGGTAATACAGTTATTATTCTCCCTACTTTTCAGAAAAGAAAACATGGTCTACGAGGTTCACTGACTTGTCTGGGGTGGGGGGCACCATTAGAATTCAAAGGTCTCTGTATCTGCATTAAGATTCAGACTGTAGACTTTGCATCGTGTACCAGCTGCTGACCAGATGCTCTGACAGCTCTGTGAAACATTGGCAGCTGGTGGAAGAGACCAGAAGGAGGGGGAAGAAGGAAAAACCCAACTTCTGATGATTTTTTTTCCCTTCCATGTCTGCCTGCCACCTAAAAAGGATCTCTCTGCTTGCAACACCCGGAAGCCGAGACCTCTGATACATCTTGCTTCTCCCAGTGACTGGAGACCAATGCAGGGTGTTAGTGAGGCCAGGAAAGCGTCACTTTACCAGGGGAGAAAGATGAGCCGTGGCATACAGCGACACCTACCTTCACTATACATGTGTGCACACAACCCTAGGAAATCTACGCCAAGGCACGCACACCTATCAGAGCAGGAACAACTGCACGCTTAACTGATGCCACACAGAACGCATGCACATTTCCGCAGGTGTTTGGGCACACTCATGTACACAACTAAACATGCACCAGTGCACAGGTATCCAGCCACTATCAGATACACTCGGCGTGAAGTGCACTCTGGTTCCACACCAAGCTGCAGCAGCTGTCAATATTCGCACACTTTTGTGCACACACAGGTCCTGATTCATCTTCGGACCTATGCACACGCATGCTGCCTACTATGCAGCATGCAACGGATTCACAACTAAGCTCAAGCACGTGCACACTCGGCACAGGGGAATGTTCTCTTGTTAACAGCTGTCAGTGCCTCTGCACACCCTCAGATCCACTACAGATAAACGTGTAAGGCCACTCGGGGGAGATATTAGGACACACGCCTACTCAGGAAGGCACAGATATAACACTGTGCTGCACAAAACCCTCGAATACACTGCCAAGTCCTACACATGGAGAGACGCAGTGACACGCCTGCAGCTTTCTCCAAACCGATACAAAAAAGGGAGCGAGGAGCTCCGGCCGTCCCACGTGACACGGTGGGGGAGGCCCCGGCCCTTGACGGGATGGGAAAACTATGCCTGGGGCCAGCGCAGGGCTGGGGCAGCCGCTGAGGGAGGCGGGGACGCGGAGTGCCACAGAGCGCTTCCTCTGCAGCTCCGGACGTCCCTGGACTAGGCTGGGCTCCGAAGGTGAGTGTCCTGCGCCGCGGTGGGGGAGAAGCAGAGGTGCTGGGGGCACTGCGGGAGGGCAAGGCAGAAGGGGGGTTGCTGCGGGCGGCCACTCACTTTGCACTGGGCAGCCCTTCTTTGCTGTCGCCAGACCTCAGCTGCACAAGGTAACACGAGTTAACATTCCTGAAGGCCTCTGCGTAGTCGCAGACGCCTCGCCAGGGAATGACCCCGCGCTGGAGTAAACAGTCCCTCGAAAGAGAGACTGGGCTAGGCTGCTGGCTAGGAGCCGAACCGTTGGAGTCCACTACCTGGGCTGATAATCCCAGTTAGCTTTCATTGCGTGCCTTGTCTCGTTGGCTCCTCAGGAGACTTTTCAACTACACTGTCCAGATGGGCCCACCGAGCTGGAGGTAGAAAGGACACTCAGAGATGTGCCCCAGTTCTTGCCAACTCGTTTCCTTCCCTTTTTCCTCACACTCCTCTCTCCAAGGATTGTCTTCATCTACTTTGATCTTGTTTCTCTTGTTTGTCTTCATCTACTTTGATCTTGTTTCTCCGTCCCCATGGCTGCTGCCCCATCCCAGAGTCTTGTCTCTCAGCCACATCCCATCCCTACTGCCCTGAGCCCTTTTACACCCTCACCTCTGCTTTTGATTTTTGTTTTTGTCGTTTTTAGCGCTGGGGCTTGAGCCTGGACTAGAAAGGCTCTGTGCACTGAGTTACACTACCAGCTCTTCCTCTGCTCTTGGAGCACAGACAGATCCCTTAGAACCTTCCTGACTTCTCCTCCATGGGCTGTCTCCAGAGACCCTGTGTTCTCACCGTGCTGACCCAGCAGCAGTGTCAGTGACAGTGTCCCGCACAGTGTCCTGTCCAGTGAAGCCTGGCATGTAGTTAGCACTCCTGTTTCTGCCCCCCAACAGCGTGGGATCATTGTCACCCAGGAACAATGTCCATGCCTCTGCTTTCAGCTACCAGGTCCTGAGTCTCCACCCCACAACCCTTTCAGACCATCACAGTGACCATCTTGACCCATCACTCACACCGCAGGCAGGTGGCTGGCTTCTGCCATCTCCAAGCAATGACAACACCCTGGCCTGTTCAACAATGCTTAAGCCTTAGGGTTCCTTTTTTAAAAAGTTATAAAAATACTAGTGCTCATCATAAAAAATCCAGACATTTCAGAAAGGTGAAAAGTAAAAGTCCTCACACTCCCAAGAAGTAACCCCTTAAACAAGATTTTGTGTCATACACACACACAACACACACACACACACACAGAGAGAGAGAGAGAGAGAGAGAGAGAGAGAGACTTAGAAGTAATTCTCCATATATAATTGTTTACATTCCATTCTGCAACTGGATTGTTTTTCCTCTCAACAAGGTATCTTGAACATGTTTACATATCTGCAAGGATGACCTGCCTTGTTCCTACAATATTCATAGTCTGGCACTGCACAGGTCAATTGAAATTCTCTGCACACATCTTCAGTCGTCTTCAAAGCGGTTCCTGTCCCCCTCGCTGTTCAGTGAGTTCCCCGAGCTGTCACTTTTTGCTTCTCGAATGTTGCCATGCTTTCTGGCCTTACTGCTCCTTCTCCCCTCCTTCCCCCTGCTGATTGAACATTCTCTCCCAGAGTCTCAGTCACCTGCTCCCAAATGTTCACAGTAGGGGAAGAGACATTCACAACTCCCCTCATGAGAACTCCTGCATAAATCAGATTCCTGTTAACCAAGCTCTACTGCCAAATGTCTTTTCAAACCTGTAATCCTTCCCAGATTCGTTCACTTTTATAAATGCCTCTTTCTGTAACACATCCATCATTATCCTATCAGTAACTCCTCTGTGGGCAGAGAGCTCAGAAGGGACCTGAGTGCTGGTCTCCAGTTAGCAAGCCCAGGTTTCTGGGTATGTTTGACTTGTGAATTACAACGTTCCATTTTTCTGGGCTATGTTGTCTTCTGCCAAGTGGAGATGACATCAGCCTCTTAGAACTGTAGGAATAATTAAAGGAGATGAAAACATCAAAACAATGAAGGAAGACGATACAACACAGATAGAAAACCATAGCTTTGTACCCTGGGTCAGAGGCTGCAGTCAGACACCAGCAGGGGCTGTGTGTGATGTGTGTAGACGCACGATAATGGCACTGATAGTGATGACTCCGGCTGCTGAAGAATACAGAACTTGTATTTTAATTCATTTGGGCTACTGCAGAGTGCCACAGATGGGGGACAGACAGTTATTTATGCTTCTAAGGCTGGAGCTCCATGGTAAAGGTGTTGGCATGTGTGACACCCCTCCCTCTGGCTTCCCAATAGCTTCTTATGTGTCTTCACATGGTTGTCCCTTTGTGTATGTTTGTGGCCCCATCTCCACTTTTTACAAGCCCAAAAGTCACGTTGGATTAGAACTTACCCATGCGACTCATTTTACCTTAGTTACCTTTTTAAAACTCCCAAGTCCAATGATAGTCCCATTCTGAGACCCCACAGGTTAGGACTTCCACAGATGAACTTTGGGGAGACAGGATTCAGTCGTGACACCCCATCGCAAGGGGCAGCCAGCTGGTAACCTATAAAAACCCAGGCTCAGTTTTGCCAGAGCTAGCAGGTCTTCAAGAAAAGCTGGGAATTCTTACTTTGATAGAAAATCTCTCAGCTGGAAATGGTGACTCGTGTCTGTAATTCAAGCACTTTGGAGACTGAGGCAGGAGTACCTTGAGTTCAAAGCCAGCCTGAACTGAGAGGAGTCTGGGGGAGGGAAGAGAGGGGTTGTGTGGACTATAGAAAGCCTTGGTGCACATGCTCTGCCTCTGAACAGCAGCAGTGTTACGGGCATATTTTAGAACTTGCCTTCTTCCCATCCCTGGTGATTTCTCTATGTTCAATTGAGATTTTGCTTTTTCCTAAGTCTGCTGAAATTTTCAAACTGTTCTTCCTCTTCTCATCTGAAAATTAATGATTCCATACACTAGGCAGATGGTGATGATGACAGGGATGGAGATGAACCTAATGGCACCTAGCAGTGACTAAGAGTTTCTTTGTGCTTCTTTACATGCATCGTCTCATCAATCTTGCCAGTGCAAAGACATACGTAACAGTCATCCTTTTTAAGAATAAGGCGCTGCCGGTGGAGTAGGTGCCTGCCTGGCAAGCGCCAGCTCATGAGTTCAAATCCCTGTACCTAATAATAATAATAATAAGGAGCTGAGGCTGGAGGAATTAACCAATTTGCTCTTAACAGGGACTAAATAGAACGCCCATAGAGCACACAGTGAGAGTATATACTCTCAACAGCATTTACCACATTGCGTCTCTGCCATAAATGAAATTGGAGCACACTGACCCGGAGCATGGATTCTGGGGTTAGGGTGAATTTAATTGGAAATCTGGGGCGAGCTGGGTCTGTGATCTGCTTAGCAAGATCAAGGCCATCTGTGGACTACACAATGAGACTATGTAAAAAAAAATGTTAAATCCCAAATTTTATTGTGTTAACAATTTCAAATTAAAACAAAAAGAAAAACCAGGATGTGATTTGTGGCTTGCATGAGGCCATTGACTCACCAGTTGGTCATGCTTATCTAGATGTAACTTCCTGGGTAGCAGGGTCAGATCCAGTATCTTTTTAATCCCCCATGGGATTCTTGCACATAACAATCTTAACAAAAAGTTGATTATGGGATGACTAGATTTAAGTCTTACAATTTTTTTTAAAGCAGGGCACACCTACAGAAATCCTGTTATATACACACTTATACTATTACACTAGAAAATAGCATCAACTGCTGTCATACCAAAGCTCAGAAATATTCAGCTCTTCATGTGAACCCAGGTCTGCTTGAGCCTCCACACGTTTTCCCTGATACGCTTTCTGGCTGTGTTCTCACAGTGAATTTATACCAGAATGACACTGTTATTAAGTGTTTGCTGTGTACTGCTCATTGTGTTTATCACACTTGATATTCAAAATTACTCTATAAGAGAAATGAGAACTCTCTAGTTACACAAAGGAGACATTGCTGAAGTCTTCAGGTAATTCAAACTCACCTCCTAAAGTATGCCAGGTGTTATGGCTTGTCCCACTAAAGCTTCCTGTAGTCATAGGTGGGGCTTTTTCAGAGGTGAATGGATCTAGAATATGTGATGCTGGAGATTTCTGATACAATGGTAGGATTAGGGCACTAAGATTAAGGGAGTGCATGCTATCTACCCTAATGGCAGGTATCCTGGGAAAGATGTAAGACACAGAGCTGTGGTCACCCCTCATTGCTTTGCTAACTTCTGCCCACCGTGAAATGTTTCTTCCATGACATCCTCCTGCCTTGGAGTCAGCTGATTATGAACTGAAACCTCTACAAACTGTGAGCTAAATAAATCTTTCCTGATTTAACTTTGGGTGTTGAATATTTTGTCTCAGGAATGAGAAAAATAACTAAGAAAGAATTTGGTATTGGAAGTGGGGCCATTGCTTTGACTATACCTGACCATGCAGTTCAGGAACCTTGAGGAAAGAGTTTGGAAAGATTTGGAGATGCCATCTGAAAAAAATAGAGCTGGAACACCTAAGACTATTTGGTGGGAGACTTTGGTCAGAGCTCAGAAGATCAGAAAGCTGATAGAAATTCTGCTGATAAAGACCAGACTCAGGTTTCTGCTGGGAAAAAGGACTACATAGGTTGTTGGACTCTAGATGATGTGTGTTATGCCTTGGCAAAAAGTTTCTCTGCATTTTGTTCATGTCCAGAGGCTGCCTGAAACTGAGATTAAGGGTGGCAGACTAATTAATCCTGAAGTAGAAATTTCAAAGTAGTCTAATGTTGAGGCAGTGGCCTGGCTTTTGAGCCAGATTTATGGTGAGAATCAAGAGCAAAGAGCCCAGTAAAATGATTCAAAGTGTTGTTTGGTCAGAGAGGAAACCCCAGCAAAGTTGCAGTCTGCAAAGATGGAACAGAGGAAATTGGTTGCTTAAAAAACTAGCAAGAAAAGATCAAATATTTCAGAAGACAACAGAA